ATACAGAAATATGTGATACTCGTGTTTGCAAAGAACTTTGTCATATTATTTCCGTTTTGGACCAAAGCTGCAGTTGTTGGTTGATGTCTGCCCTCTGGTGTCGTTCTGCTGAAATACTTTACACAAATAGAAACAAATACCAAGAACAAGGATTATGTTTTTATTTATTACATCCTATTGAGGGAAACAGTAGTTCACTTAATGTTTTCTCAGCTGTATTTTATTTACTAAAATCTTATGAGTTTTATAAAACTGTATTCATAAAGTGTGTCAGTCCCAGCTCAGGAAACGTGTTGTAAAAATCCCAGATCAGCTTGTTTGTTCTTCTGTTTTAGACAAAGTGATGGAGAAATAAACACTCAAAACATTTTATTATTTTTTATTTTGAAATTCAGTTCCCGGAAGTGAATTAGCTGTAGCTTTTAGCTTGTTGCTAACAGATAAGAAGATGTCGGCTCCTTTCAGAGTGTCCCTCCGCCGCAGGGCTCTCTGTCCGCCCGGCTCCAGGCCGCTGCTGCCGGGGAGGGAGCCGGGCAGCAGGCGCTGGAGGTCGGACACAAACACAGGTACTTCCGCCCGGAGCTGAGCTAGCAGGCTAATGTTAGCATCARGTTTGTGATCAGGGATTAAACTTTAAGAGATAATCTGACTTCCTGTGGTCAGACTCTGCAGACATCCTCACAGTTTAATAACTCCATGTTTTATTCTCTATAAAGTTATTTTTGTTGAGACTCAGTCATTTATTATAATTTATTATAATTCTGCAGTTTAAAGTTTAACTCAGGAGTTCAGAAACGTCTAAACGACCGGAAGTTACGTAATCAGAGGCTGTTTATYACATCAGTAATTTAAATTCTATAATTTGAGTTAAAACAACATCCAATAAAAGATAAAACACTCACCATATTTACTGGACAACTATAAAATAAAATAGAATAAAATCCAGAATATTAAATCCAGATTAAGAGATTATTAAGCTGTGATTGTTGCCGACAGGTTTTTATTTTTCCACAGTTTGATCAGAAGTCAGAGCTGGGATTAAATCTCTGAACATGGTTCTGTTTGGATCAGGTTTATTAAAATCTCTGGRTCTGATTCTGGTCTCTGTTGCAGACAGTCATGGACCACTAGAGGGGGTCAGAGTCCTGGACCTGACCAGGTGAGTCCAGCAGTCCCTCTGTCCTCTCAGTCTCAGGTCCTGATGTCTGTCTGGACCTTTTGCAGGGTTCTGGCCGGCCCGTTTGCCACCATGATCCTGGGAGACCTGGGAGCCGAGGTGATCAAGGTGGAGCGTCCAGGTGAGCGTGTTCCTGCCGCCTACAGGTGAGGCGCTGAGGGAAACCTGACGGGTCTGTGTTGAACAGGTGGAGGGGACGACACCAGGACCTGGGGTCCTCCGTTTGTCGGGTCAGAGAGCGTTTACTTCCTGAGCATCAACCGGAACAAGAAGGTGAGGAGGCCCGGGTTCTAGGCCCGGGTTCTAGGCCCGGGTTCTAGGCCCGGGTTCTAGGCCCAGGTTCTAGGCCCGNCAGTCCAGGGTACGACTCCATCGCCTCAGCAGTGTCAGGGATGATGCACATCACCGGCCCGGAGGTCAATAATCTGTTTACACCTCTGGATGTCTGATTGTCCTCCTGGAGCTCAGACTTTAGTCTCATCATCTTGTCACGGCAGGACGGAGACCCGGTACGTCCAGGTGTCGCCATGACGGACCTGGCAACGGGACTGTATGCACATGGAGCCATCATGGCCGCTCTGCTGCAGAGACACAAGACAGGAAGAGGAGTTCACATCGACTGCAACCTGCTGTCTTCACAGGTACTACTTCCTGTTACTGAGGTCACACAGGTACTARTTCCTGTTACTGAGGTCACACAGTTTGTATTTGTGTCACCTCAGATAAACAGGACTTCTTCCTGGTCTTCTGTGTTATGTTCAGGGTTCTGTGTTGTGTTCAGGGTTCTGTGTTGTGTTCAGGGTTCTGTGTTGTGTTCAGGGTTCTGTGTTGTG